AATTTCCAGCTTTTCTGCCCTGCTTTTTCCCCATCTTTGTGGTTTTATCTGCCTTTGGTCTTTGATGATGGTGACATACTGATGGGGTTTTGGTGTGCATGTCCTTTCTGTTTGTTAGTTTTCCTTCTAACAGTCAGGACCCTCAGCTGTAGGTCTGTTGGAGATTGCTTGAGGTCTACTCCAGACCCTGTTTACCTGCATATCAGCAGCAGAGGCTGCAGAAGACAGAATATTGCTGAACAGCAAGTGCTGCTGTCTGATTCTTGTTCTGGAAGCTTCGTCTCAGGGGTGTACCCCGCTGTGTGAGGTGTTGGTCTGCACCTAGTGGGGGATCTCTCCCAGTTAGGCTACTCAGGGGTCAGGGACCCACTTGAGCAGGCAGTCTGTCTCTACAGAGACAGGCAGGCCTCCTTGAGCTGTGGTGGGCTCCACCCAGTTTGAGCTTCCAGGAGGCTTTGTTTACCTACATAAGTCTCAGCAATGGCTGGCGCCCCTCCCCCAGCCTGGTTGCTGCCTTGCAGTTAGATCTCAGACTGCTGTGCTAGCAATGAGGGAGGCTCTGTGGGCATGGGACCCTCCCAGCCAGGTGTGGGATACAATCTCCTGGTGTGCCATTTGCTAAGACCCTTGGTAAAGCACAGTATTAGGGTGGGAGTTACCAGATTTACCAGGTGTTGTGTGTCTCAGTTTTTCAAGGGATTCCCTTCTCCCTTGTGCATCCCAGGTGAGGCGATGCCTGGCTCTGCTTCAGCTCTCGCTGGTCGGGCTGCACCAGCTCTGATTGTCCAGCACTCCCCAGTGAGATGAACCCGGTACCTCAGTTGAAAATGCAGAAATCACCCGTCTTCTGTGTTGCTCGCGCTGGGAGCTGGAGGCTGGAGCTGTTCGTGTTCGGCCATCTTGCTCCAGAATCCCCTAACACTTTTTTCAAGCAATGCCTACTGCTTTTCTGGCCTGAGTTCTAAGTTAGGTAAAACAGTGATGAGTGCTCTGTCAATCCTTTAAGTAGCCCCAGACAGGCTACCAGAGACTTAAACAAGAATTTGTAAGTTCTGCTTTGCTTTCTCTAGAAATGGGGATCAGGGTCCAAGAGAGAATGCAGTTGCTGATTTCAAGACTGCTGCAACACCAGGGCACTTGTGTTGGAAGGGCAAGCAGAAATGTCAGAAAGCTTTCTCCCCATTTTAAAGTTGCCTGTTGTTGACTCAGCATTTGCTTCATTGCTATAAACTTTTTACTATTTTACTATTTTCCAGAGTTCTGACAAAATTGGCTATGCCTGTTCCTGCTTTTATATATATAAAATATACATATAATATATATATATATTTAGAGATTGGGGTCTCACTATGCTGACCAGGCTGGTCTTGAACTCCTGGCCTCAAGCCATCCTCTCATCTCAGCTTCCCAAATTGCTGCAATTACAGGTGTGAGCCACCACACCCAGCCCCTGCTTGTTTTTCAGTGTGCCTACTCCACCATGTTGCTCAAGTGTGTATATTTTCTAAACTACCCTGTAGTGTTGTGATGGGAAATAAATCCCTGAGCCTTTTGTATAACTCAGATCAAAAACTTAGTTTATCCTATTAGAAGGATTAGAAACATGATATATCTTTCATTTTCAGGGGTAGGCTCCTCATTAGAAGGCTCCTATGTGCCAGATGCTGTACAAGACTTTTCATTTCTCTTAATGTTTACAAGCAGCTTGTTGCCAAGGCTGATCTTGAACTCCTGGCCTCAAACGATCTAGCTCAGTCTCACAAAGCGTTGGGATTGTTTGGCCAACTAATGACTACCTTAACTCTTGTGTTTCAATGTTTATGCCCTCTTTTTTCTTGACTGATTGTATGACTATGTCTTCTAGAACAATGTTGAACAGAAATGGTGACAGCAGACATCCTTGCTTTAATATTTCACCATTATATACGATGTTAGGTATAGATTTTTCTCACAGATGCCCTTCATCAGATTGAGGAATTTATATTCTTACTTTGCTGAAAGGTTTTTGTAGTCTGACAGGGGTGCATTTTGTCAAACACTTTTTCTGTAATAATTGAGATGATTGGTTCTGCAGTCATTGAGATGTGAATTTTCTCCTTTATTCTGTTCGTGATTACACTGGTTGACTAATGTTAAACCAACCTTACTTTCCAGGAATAAACCCTATTATCTTTTTTACACATTGCTGGATTTGATTTGCTAATTATTTTAAGGACTTATTTCTACATTCATGATAGATATTGCTGTTATTTTCTCATGATGTCTTTTTTAGGATTTGTATCATATATGGCATTTCTTAGGTATACCTAAGTATCATTTATTCAAGGACCTAAGAAATGCAAAAATCAATTCTGTTTTGAGGTGGTTTTTCCATCATGAAAAAAAATTTCTTTAAAGTCATCTGTCTGATTCTGTAAAAATTTCATTCTTTATGTGAACAAAAAGCTGAAAGAAATTCAGGGAAAGAATTAGATGTATGTGAATTGCCAACTCAATGTTTTGTTCTTGCTAGTTGTGTTCCCCCTTCTTATTCCATCCATTTCATAGTAATAAGAAATAAAGAATTTTACATTGAGATTTAGGTAAATTTTTGAATTACAGTATATGATAAAAACCTTGAGGTTCAAACTCCAGGTATAATGAAATTTAACTGAAAATTACTATAGCAATTTAAGTCAATTTGTAGTTTTGAAAGCGGTTTTAATAATTTATCTTCCACAAAAAGGTAGGAAGGTTTCTTAGCTGAACTTAAAAACATAAAGGAACACATCCAACATATCTTTAGTTAAAAATCCAAAAGTTAGAGGATAATTTCCAAATGTGTACTTTAAATAGAAAAAAATTACAAATTGCATGTGCAATAGAGTATCTGCCACTTATGTAAAAAGAAAAAAAAAAAACCCAAAACTTTATGTACACATAAAAACGCAACATTTTTGTAAATAGAGAAAAGATCTAAAAGGATAACATTAAAATGAAAACAGCAGTTACCTCTGGGGACAACAGTTGTGTGGAAATGCTAACTGCTTTTCAACAATGGTTTGAATTTTCTAGATGAGAGTCTATTCTTGTATAATTTTGCTACTAAGATAAACATTAAAAAATTCTTCATACCAGTGAATCACAAGTCCTCACTGCAACGGACATAACACACCCAACTCCTAAAATAAATTATATGTAGTTTTGAAGGTAGGGGTGACATAAAAGTAGGCTATATATTCAAATCCTACAATATATTCAAGTTTTTGCAATTATCTTTTGGGCAACAATTTGCAAAATATATTTACGGTTTCCCTTAAGTTATTTAATAAGTAGACTTAGAAAAATTACTAGTAAACTGACATTTTGGAAAATGCTCTTAATTTCTTTTGATTAAATTATCTTGCCTCAGTCTTATTAGACAAATATTTTATCAGAAAATGAATCACGTTCTGAGTATTTAAAATATCTGTTCCTTTCTTAGTCCTACCACCAATGACAAAAAAACAAAGTAATAACTTGCTAACAAGTAATGTCTTAATGCATTAAAAAAATCAACAAATTTTTAAAAAGGCCAAATATGGTGGCTTAAGCCTGTAATCCCAGCACTTTGGGAGGTCAAGGTGGGTAGATTGCTTGAGCTCAGGAGTTTGAGACCAGCCTGGGCAAGGTCGCAAAACCTCATCCCTAAAAAAAAAAAATACAAAAATCAGCTGGTCGTGGTGGTACATGCCTACAGTCCCAGCTACTTGGGAGGTTGAAGTGGGAGGACTGCTTGAGCCCAGGAGGCAGAGGCTGCAGTGAGCTGAGATTGTGTCACTACACTCCAGCCTTGGTGACAGAGCCAGACCTGTCTCAAAAAATATAATTAAAAAAAATGAAAAGAAAAATGGCAAATAAGGAAAACTTCTGCCACAAGCATGGGCAAAAATTCAGTATCTTTAAAAATATAAAGGTCGTAAAGTCCATAACAAAAAGATGGATATTTCAGAAATAATTACAAATGGCCAAAACAAGTATGTTTACTCTCTAATAGCCAAAACAAAATGAGCTATTAAAATAAGATTATTTTTACCTTTCAAATTTTCAATGCATTTTAAAAAAAAGGATAATAACTATGCTGGTAGGGGTTCACTGGCACTCACTTACACTTGTGTTGGTACATTAAATTGGTACAGATTTTTCTAAAGGACAATTTGACAATCAGCAAATGCCTTAATCATTTAATACTCAGCAAATAATTGACTCCAACTGAGATTTTCATATTGACTTATTTTTAAATAAAGGTAGTTAAAGAGAACTAAAAGATATTACTGTGGTTCAGGACAGAAGACTCACTAGCATGCTCACTTAAGCCAAAACCTTTGGCAAGGTTTCTCCAGTTCCCCTCTTAAGAAAACTGAAAGACCAGCCAAAAGAATCAAAGGGAAACACATTGAGCTCTTAAAGCTCCACTGCATTTAATTCCTTAGAACACCACAGAATCGTGGCAGCTTTTCATGATGCCAGAAGGTAGAGAATGGGGGGAATAGAGGTGGAGTCTTGCTTTTTTGCAAATCCTACCTTCTCTTACAGGGAATAAAGAAGACAGAGGCACCAGCTTCTTCTCAAGCAAAGGAACTGAGTGTAACTATATTAAAATTTTAGGATTTTCCTATAAAGTTTATTCAATCTTTATTAATTAGTGATTTAAGATGGTCTAGGTGATGCTCTCCTATGAAGGATTCTGCTTGATTCAAAGCTTTTATTTTCACCAAAATAAGAATTATTTCTTCGACTTTATCCCTGAAAAACAAAACAAATTTCTCCCTTTAGAAATGCAATGTATGAGGGAACAGCAGTCAGTTCAGAACCTGATCATCAGTTGTTAATCTAAACCAAAAGCTTTATCTTAAGCTAGTATCTAAAAGTAGCATAAAACACAGAGAGATGCTGCCATCTCCACTTAATTATAAAGTTCAAATACAGACCATTAGTGGATGTATTCTGGCAAATTTTAATGTGAATTACTGTAAAAAGTAGAAAAACATACAGTAAGTCTATCAGAAATTTTAGTAGTGCTGCGCTGCTATCAGCTTGTATGAGACATTGTGGTGGAAGCAATGGTGGGAGTATATTCACACATCATGACATTAGCAAATAATACAAATCTGAGTCTTTTTTTTTTTTTTAAAGGGACTTGTTCTTGCTCTGTTGGCCAGACTGGAGTACAGTGGCACAATCATAGCTCACTGCAGCCTCAATCTCTCAGGCTCAAGCAATCTTCCCACCTCTGCATCCTCAGTAGCTGGGATTCAGGCACATGCCACCATGCCTAGCTAATTTTTAAATTTTCTGTTCTAGAGACAGGGTCTTGCTATGTTTCCCAGGCTGTTCTCAAACTTCGGGGCTCAACTGATCCTCCTGCCTCAGCCTCCCAAAGTGCTGACATTACAGGCGTGAGCCACAGTGCCGGTCAAATCTGGGCTTAAAAAATTTTTTTGGAGAGGGAGTTAACAGGAATACCACTGTATTTAAGCCCCCAAACATCTGGTGCTGTGAATGAAACATTCAGAACAGAGAGCTAGCTACTGCTGGATAAATACCAAGCTGCAGACCTGTACTTAACAACCGTTGAGTCTCTAAAAATGGCCAGGAAAATTAAAAACATATTTAAAAAGTATGTAATAAAAGGGTTTTGATTTATAGTTTTAATTCTATATTCCCCTGTGCTATAGTTTTTTGAATGTGCTTAATTTGGGAGAGATTTACATTTTAAAATATGAATATGCATAAGCCATCCCAAAGGTAACCATAAAAATATCTAACAAATTTTTAGAAGTACAGTAAAAATACAGATCTTTCTAAAAATGGCTGAGAGCATACAGAATCCTTGAACTATGTTTATAGAAGTGAAAACAAAATCTGCATCACCTGAATTCACTTCTAGATAATTTATGTGCAGACTGCAATAAAAACTGAATGAAGTTTTCTAGCTGTGGAATAGATGTCCTCGTGGCAGAATTTTCAAACCATTTTTCTGGTAGACATGCTGCTACCTGTTAATCAAAACACATGGCTGGTTTACAATGACAGTATCTAAGAACTCTTGCTAACATAATCTCATAGTGATACTGTAAGCTGAATATCATTCTCCCCATTTTATAGTTTATGGTTTAAATAAAAATTTGTAAAAATTTCCCTTTATGTCATAGGCTACACATATTTTGGAAATTCATTCTTTAATCCTAAGAACTTAAAATACGCTACTCTCTATGAGCACTCCCTGGTAGTACTAATAATTCTTTCTATGTTCTTGTATTTGTGAGTCATTAAATCTGTACAAAACATAATTTACACTTAAAAACCAGAAATGGCTAGACACAAAATATTTGGTCAATACAACTCATAATACATACATTCACTATTATTTTATAAAGAAATTGGGTGTCCTAGCATATGATCTATATAAATTTGAGTTAAGAAATCAAATGGGTGATTCTAAGATATATAGAATGAAAGATAAATTATGTTTTTATCTTCTGTCAATGTAATACATTGCGTTAATCGTAAAGCAGCAGAATAAGTCAATGTACGTGCATTCAATTTTTCTTTTGGAAATGGAAATTACATTTTATCACTGTCATTCTAAAGAGTAATACAAGATTTTGAGAAAAATTTTGGTAAAAACAGAAAAATGTTAGAAAAAATTTAAAAAGAGAGAGAGAAAAAAAACTTCCTCATAGAGGAAACAAGGGAAAAAAAGAGAGGGAAAGGGGAGACAGGAAAAAACTTGATATTGTTCCCGAGAGAACAAAGTCTGGTTGCCTGTTCTTGAGGTCCAAAAACGAGATGCAGGCAATTGGGAAAGAAGGGAGTTTATTTCTGCCACCAGTTACAGGGAAGTCAGAGTAACTCACCAGACCAACTCAAAGTTATAAGGTTTTTTCTAGTGCTTGTATATATTTAAAGCTCCATGCTACGTGTGGGATTGGAACTGGGGGTTTGCATTAAATCTTTATCTCATCTTTAGCTAGGGACTAGGGTCTGGAAAGCTTTCTCTAGAGTCTTGGAAAGTTTCTTAATCTTATGACAGAACGAGGTGTATGTGCAAGAATGCTTTTGTTATTCTATCAGAGTTTAGGGTCTGAGAAAAACCCAGGCGGGTTCTTAATGGGTTGGTTTCTGCATTCCAGTTCTTGTACTCAGGTACCAGATTCTCCAGTTTTAATGTTTAGCTTATACTTTCATTAAAGTTATAGTAACGGGTTCGTGGAAACTGACTTCTGTTTGCTAATGGAAACCTGGCCTGCCATAGTATCACACTATTCAAAGAAATTCCTAGATAATCATACAGATTATGGTACAGTTGGTAACATCAAGATCAATATTTATAGAAAGCAGAGAGGTGGGGAAAAAATTAAAATGCACCCTATATATTATACAGTATATTAAATAAAGGTTCTGGAATGCACTCTAAGATTGGTCACCATTTAAAACATGGTTGAAGCAAAAGACTTATTCTACTCCTTAATCACCTGTTTCAACTATTCAGGAAAAATAGAGAAACACTGACTGCCTAAGGCAGAAGATCCCACAAGTTTTGTTATATAAACTATCTCTTTCTAAAAGTTTTAAAACCAGCCTTTACTATTGAATGTCATTTGCACTTGTTTTTCCCTTGTTTTGTATCACAAGTCTCAATAAAATTCTCATTTAACCATGGAGCTTTTCCATTAATGATCCCAGCACTAAAAGTCTATTTTCTTGGCCTGGTTTTCTAGCCATATGCTGTGGAGAGAATGCTGTGTAAATATATTTCCTCTTCTCTACTTCATAACAGACCCTATGGTCAAAGGGGACTAAACTATGCCTGAACATAAAATGGATGATGATTTAAATTTTTAATATACAATGCTTAAAACTGTATGATACAAAAATTATAGCCAAAACCATCATGGTTCGCTAATAATTGGTATATAGTTTTATGGCAGGCTAGGTTTCCATTAGCAACCAGATGAATCAGTTTCCACTAACCCTTTTCTATAATTTTGACGAATGTGTAAGTTAAACATTAAAGAACTAGAGAAACTGGTGCCTGAGTACAAGAACTGGAATGCGAAAACAAACCCATTAAGACTCCGCCTGGGTTTTCCCAGACCCTAAAGTCTGATCAAATAATAAGAGTGTTCTTACACATATTCCTCGTACCAGGGCCCACTTAAGATTAAAAAACTTCCCAAGAGTCTAGAGAAAGCTTTCCAGACCCTAGTTAGATTAGAGAGGGACTGAATGAAACACTCTCCCTTGTAGGTGCACTCTCCCACATAGCATGGAGCTTAGAATGCATGTAAATGCTGGGGGGCGGGGGGGAATTGTAACTTTTAGTTGGTCTGGTGAGTTACTACAACCTTTTCCCTGTAACTGGTTGCAAAAATAAGCTCCTTTCTTTCCCAGTCTGTCTGCATCTTGCTATTGGACTGTGAGAACAAGCAGCCGGACCCGATTCTATCTGGGAACAGTTTAGTGTGTGTGTTTTTAAATCACATTATAAAATAATTATTTTCCCATGTTCTTAAAAATTCTTCAAAAACATAACTTTTGCGAACCCAAAAGTATCTGAGACAGGTTCTGAGATTTATTTTCCTTTCACATTTTTATCTTATGAGAACACCATCATGTTTTCAGAGATATTTAGGTGTTTCCAGCTATTTTCTATTATAAGTAATGCTGTAACAATATTCTTTGTACTTAAAATCTATACGTGCATCTCTAATTTTTGACTTAACTTACTTTGGCTAAGTCAAAGAATATAAGCTTTAAAAGTTTTGTATCCATCATGCCAAAATATTCTCCAAAAGAGCTGTATCCCTCCTTCCATCAGTGCAGGAGACTGTTTTCCAGAACCACTGCACTGCATACTCTAGGTGAATGGTGCCCCTGCAATGATGGAACTGTTGTTTTCCTGTGTTTATGATAACACTGGAAAATATAAGTAAAACAACAACAGCAAAAAAATGTTTGCCAACACAACTGGTCAAGAAAATATCCTTCCTATAAATAATTTCCATTTCTCTGATTATTAGTACTATTGATTATTTTTCACATATTTTAAGGTTAATTTTACGTTTCCTTTTAGGTGACTTGACTGTTGCACGTGTTTTGGCCATTTTTAGTCAGAACATTTGAATTATTTCCTAATTTGTAAAGAGCTTTTTTATTTAATGTGAATATTAATCCTTGTTATATATTAACAACTTTTTATTTCCTAGATTCTTAACTTCTTTTTAACTTTCTATTACAGAAAATTTCAAACATAAACAGCAGTAGAAAGAATAGTATAGTGAGCCCAATGAACACATTCCCCAGTTTTAATAATGATCAATTAATCTCAACACCTTTTTGATCCACTGAAGTTTTATAAAATTTTTTTAAATCTATTACTTTTTCTCATTTCCTTGGCCTTTAAGTTTAGAAGGAAATCTCTTACTCTCAAGTACAGTTATTTACCATTTTAGTATATTTTATAGTTTCATTTTTACATTTTTAAAAATTTTACCTGAAACTTTTTTGGTATATAGTGAGAGGTGAGGATTTAATATTCTTTTTGTAAACAGCCAGCCATCTAGTATCATTTATTAAGTACTTTTTCCTTTTCCTACTGGTGATATTTCAAACCAGTATACTATCTCTTAAATGCAGAAGGGCTATTCTGGATTTCTAGTTTGTTAAATTCATTTGTCAATTTTTTTTTTTTTCTGAGACGGAGTTTTGCTCTTGTCACCCAGGCTGGAGTGCAATAGCGACTCACCGCAACCTTCCGCCCCCTGGGTTCAAGCGAGTCTCCTGTCTCAGGCTCCCAAGTAGCTGGGATTACAGGTGTTAGCCACCACACCTGGCTAATTTTTGTATTTTTAGTAGAGACAGAGTTTCACCATGTTGGTCAGGCTGGTCTCAAACTCCTGACCTCAGGTGATCCACCTGCCTTGGCCTCCCAAAGTGCTAGGGTTACAGGCATGAGCCACTGTGCCCGGTCCATTTGTCTATTTTTATATGAGTACCACATCTTTAATTATTTTGTTAAATAGTAGATTTTAATAGCTAAATTTTTTAGAAATGATAAAATTAGAATCAGTTTCTTCACAACTTACCTGATTGCACTTTTTAACCACATCTGGCCCAGGTGTGGCATTGAGAAGAGCTATAATAAGGTAACGATTTAACAGCTTCCCTAGTCCTAGTTCTTGCAAGGTGTCATCTGTAAGGAGTCCATTCCAAAGAAGAATATTGTGGAAGAGCTAAAATAAAGTATCAAGTAAATATGTACCTTTTCTCCAAAGAGAAACTGTAATAGTCTCTAACAAAAATAAAGAGTTTATCAAACTAAAATTCTCACTACAATTGCCCTGTTGGAACGGTCAATTTTAGAATACAATATCTCTGAATAAATACTTGATTCTTTCCAAACTCCATGTATTTGCTCATCTTATCTTCATTTTCTAGGATAACCATCCCCAAATCTGTCTCAAATAACTTCACTAGAGCCTTTCCAGATCAATAATCTTCCTTCCCAATCCATTTTCTCTCAAAGTCGAGGACCACTGAATATAAGACCACAGGACCATGTGATTAATAAAGAACCACTGTCAAAACTAGGGCTGCTATTACCAACATGTGACCTTGAGAAGGCAATCAATGCTGAGAGCTTCATTCCTCTGATACATAAAGATTAATAATCACCTGTGAATTTGAAGATAACTTGGATTAAGTAACCATAATAAATTGTAATAAAATATTGGTGGCCCTTTCCCTCTACTAAATTCAGATCTTTCTGTGAATTTTAAGGTGTCTCTTTCTTTCTAGTACTATATTCACCACTCTATTGTTTTACTAAAATGTAACGCTTTTGCACATTTTATCTCATTGTTGATGTTGTTCCCTCTTCCCAGAAAGCCTTTTCCTTAATTCAACCACATGATAAATATTAATTCACACTATTAAAACTACTCTTGCTGAGGTCACCTATATCCTTCTAATTGTCAAATCCAATAATTCAGTCTTTCTCTTAATTCTCTTTGGTGGGCATTTAACACTCTTTTCTTCATTGTTGAAAATCTTCCATTTAGCTTCCTTAAGGCCATTCTCTTGTGATCATCCTAAGGCTCATAACTGATTCTACAGTTTCCTTGAAGCCTCCATGTTCTCCTCTTCCGTTAGTATTTCCCGAGGTTCTGTCCTTAGCCTACTTCTCCTGCTTCATCCAGTCTCCTTAGAGCTTGTCATTCATGACCATGGCTCCAAATATTGCCTACAGGTAGTGGACTCCTAAATCTCCAGCTCAGGTTTGTCTCCTGAAATTCAGACTCAAGTATCCAACTACCTCCTAGACCTCTGTATCTCTATTTGTTCCACATATACCTTCATTATGTCCAAAATAGATCTTATCTTCTCTCGATCAGTTATCGAGTCCTTTCAATGCTTCCTCCTAAACATTGTTTGAACCTTCTTCTCCTTCCCATCCCTACTGCCACTGACTTAGCAATAATTTTAAGGCCAGGGGTTGGCCAACTATAGCTTGTGGGTTAAATCTATCCTGTTGCCTGTTTTTGTAGGGTCCATGAGCTAAGAATGGTTTTAACATTTTTCAAGGACATTTTAAAACTGTTTTTAAACCAAATATTTTGTACCATGAGAAAATTACATGACATTCAAATTTCAGCGTTCATAAGTTTTATTCAAACATAGCCATGTTCATTTGTTTATGTACTATGACTGTTTTTGTGCTATGGTGGCAGAATTGAGTAATTAGACAGAGACCATGTGAACCACAAAGCTTAAAATACTATCTAATTCTTACCGAAGAAGTTTGTTGTTCTTTGTTCTATAGTAAACAGGATTTTTACAAAATTTGTCTTTTCATTTTTGCAGTTTTTGCTCACCTTTAGGCCTGACCAGAACTGTCTTTCTTGGAACTTTGAATGAGGTGATGTTTTATTTTCTACAGCACTAATTAGAAGCAAAAGAAGGAGAAAAGGAGAAAATGCAAAGAACTATTAGCCTTTCAGAACCAGAGTTTGAGATCAGACTTTCTTTTAAACCAACCAAACTAAGCCTTAATGGAATATAAACAGAGATTGTCTGATGAGATCCATTGGAATTACAAATGTATGCATACTCTGACGCAATGATCTCATTTCTGAGAATGCCTCTTGTAGATATACGTGCACAAGTATGGAATATGTCTATAAGATTGTTTACAACATCAGTGATGACAGTAGTTCACCAGTCACATGACCATCATAGGACATCTAAATGATGGCAAACTTTACAGCTTAAAAAAGAATGAGAAGCTGTTTATATGATGGATGACATGTATAGAAAGATCTCAAGAGGTACTAAGTGAAAAAAAGGTACAAAACAGATTACAACTTTTTGAGTATACTTCCTTTGCTGTAGAAAGGAGGGTAACATAAGATTATAGCTTATATAAGTACTTCTGTTTGCATGAAGAAAGTCTTGAAAGATAAAAATTACTCAGTGTGATTATTAATGCATGCACATATGTGAGTAGAAGGAGAAGGGCAAAAACTGAGTCAGGGGTGGGAGTAAAACTTTTCATTTTAATAAATTTTTTTTAGTAAAATAATATATACTTATTTATAAATAAATAATATACCACATTCATACATCTGAACCATGTGAATGCATTACCTATCTAAAACATTACAAAGCAAAGTTTACCAGGGCAGAATTTTTACATGTAGACATCTCATGACTCAAAATGAATCAGAAAGCTTTGAGGTTCCTTTCTTCCCCCTCCAAAAAGCTCCTCCATCCTGTCAGTACTCACTGGATTGCTACAGTTCATGTATCATTATAACTGATGTCTTCTTAGCAAAGTTATGTTCACACATCAAATACTACTTGCTTTATAATTTAAAGTGACTGCAGAATTTACAGGTGCAGTTTCTGGTTCCTCAGTGTTGCGCTTCCTCTGTGCTAGGCACTGTTGTGTTCTGAGCACCCTCTCCATCTCCCTAACATCCTGTGAGGTAGGCACTAATTTTATCCTAATTTTATAGATGAGAAAACAGGTGTGTAAAAATATCTACTAACAGTGGACTTGTGTTCTTTACCACTCTATATCACCTGCTATGTTCCTAGGATATGTGTAAAACTAAAACCAAAACCCAAACCAACCAAACAAAAACACATCTAAGCACCAAGCATAAAGCACAGCATAAAGTAGGTCACTGAGAAATATTTGTTGAAATCTCAATTTGCATCCTCATAGAGTATGTGTACACGTTTTGAAAACACTATAGTTTCTTTTGCATTGCATTCTTAAACAAATCTGCACTCTATGATCGGCTATTTCAAATAATCTAGAAATTAACAGCTCTTACCTCTTTGGATACAGAGGAATAAAAACATCATCTTCTACTGCCTTCTTCATTCTTGAAACAATGGATTTCAGTAAATCCTATTATTACAAATTTGAAAAGTATCAGTGATAGAAGACAGAAATGTATTTACCAAAAAAAAAGTAATTTTAACAGCAGTACAAATTTGTCCACACTCACAGAAGCAGCTGTTAAAATAACTATCAATTGGGTACAAACAAAACCTTATTTATCCATATGGGTATAGTTGGATCATTTTCATTGCTATATAGTATTTTGTTGCATGAATACTACTGATGGAACACTTAGGTGATTTCTGGTTTGGTGGCTATTATAAATAATGCTGCCACAAAAATTCTTGTACATGTCATTTAGTACACGTCATACATCTCTAATGGGTATATACATAGAGATGGAATTGCTGGAGTATAGTTCATGTCCATACATTCAACTATGTACAAAAAAACCAAACTGTTTCTAGAATAGTGGCATCCCATTACTGCCTGCAGTATAAAAGAAATCCTGTTTCTCTACATACTTACAATAATTGGCATTTTCTTGTTTCTTAATGTTTGCAATTGTAGTGGGTATGCAGTCATATTTCATTGTGTTGTTTTAATTCTCATTTAATTATCACTGAGTAATGTGCTCTTGGGTATCTTTTCATATTCCTGTTTGCCACTTGGCAAGCCCTTTTGCAAAGTACCTAATTAAGCTGCTTGCCAACATTGCTTTTTTTTGGTATTAGGTTCTGTCTTTTTATTATTGATTTGTGCAGGTCTTCTACATACTCCGGCTGTGGGTCCTTTGTTGGTTTGTCTTGTGTCCTGTGATGCAGAAAATCCACTTAGGGAAATCCATTTTGTTTGTATATAAAAAATTGGAAATAACCAAAATATTCAATCATAAGGAATTTTAAGGAGATGTTACATCCATCCAGTGAATCTACCATAAACTTTAGCTGAAGTTTATGATGACTACAGTAACAGACAACTATAAATATGCAATGAGATAACATTAAGCAGTAGTAGTATACTAACTTACATGCCTGTTAGGATTATAACTTTGAAAAAAGAGCCTGGATGAAAATATCCTACAATGGTATTAGTCCTTGTACTAGGGTAAAAGATAATGAGTGTTTACTTTTTTCATGTATTAGCAATATTTCTATAATGATATTCTTAAAAAAGTATTCATATTTGAAAAATGAAAATGGCATACTATACACCAGAGTAAAAGTTTTTTAAGTCAATGACAATGTATACAGCACAAATTCAGCTGTCACATACTGTATACTAACTGAATTATCCATAAATGTAGAATTCAATCAAATATATTTTTCATAAATAGCATAATGAATTGAAGTCGTTTCTCTTTCCACTCAATTATCTGTAACATATTCCTCAAGTGGCCATATATCAACATTTATTTAATGCTAAAAATTAAAACTCCAGTTGTATTTTACTCCATTCCTTAAACATTCTGAATTCTGTTAAAAGAAAAAAGAGCATTTTCCAGACAATATCTCCAAAAAATAGCATTTATGTAACTTACTGAGTTAGGTGTTCATGCTAGAAAAAAAGCTGCTTTGATTTTTTTCATTTAATTTTAATAATTTTGAATGCCAGCCTTGAGAAATATTTCCATACTGTTTAAATTTTGTTTCTTAAAATAGTTCTATTGAAAATGAACTATAAATAAAGGACATTATTGAATCAACTGGCAAAAGTGGAATATGGATGGTAGATGGTTGATAAATTTGCTGAAACTGCTAACTACTCTGGTTATATAACATAATATCTTTGTCTTAACAAATATGCACCTTGTTCTCAGTAATCAGGACAAAAAATATTGTATGTATATATTTAAAGTGGAAGGGCTAATGATAAAGCCAGTGGGGCAAAATATTAATGACAAGTAAATCTGGGTAAAGGGAATATGGAAATACTACTCTTATTCATGAAAGTTTTCTTTCAAAGTATTAATATTTCCAAATAAATTATTTAAAACAAAACATAAATTTGCTGGCCGGGTGCGGTGGCTCACGCCTGTAATCCCAGCACTTTGGGAGGCTGAGGTGGGTGGGTCACTTGAGGCCAGGAATTTGAGACCAGCCTGGCCAACATGGCAAAACACTGTCTCTACTAAAAATAGAAAAAATTAGCCAGGAATGGTGGCACATGCTCGTAATCCCAGCTGCTTAGGAGGCTGAGGCACGAAAATCGCTTGAACCCAGGAGGCGGAGGTTGCAGTGAGCGGAGATTGCACCACTGCACTCCAGCCTGGGTGACGAGAGTGAGGTTCCATCTTAAAAAAAAAACCCAAAAAACAGAAAAACAAACAAACAAAAAACCCCACATAAATTCACAGAAAACCGTGAGCTATTAACTTTTCTAACTATTAAATAACATCATTTATTTGGTGGAAAATAAGGTTCTCCAAACAGTTTTAACAAGCATTCTGAATCACACGTTCAGACTCACATACAACCCTTTGTATAAATATACTTTAAAACAGCTTTAAAGAGGCACTTGTGTGACGCCCGTGGTTTTTATGCTGCTCTGTATATCCATGGAGGTAATCCCAGGATGGTCTGGACAGATGTTGGGGTGGTCAGGGAAGAATAAGGGCAGGTGCTCACAACAGCAGGAGCAGTTTTACTTCTGTGTGTGTGTTTGCATATTGGATTGTGTAAGATTTAATTGAAATAGGTTCTGTTTATAAAAAACAAAAAATGAGTCTGAAAACCACCAATCTATCTGAACACCCAAGTGATGCTTAGACTTATTTTCACATTTCTACTAAATGGTTCATCAACCATGTCTAAAACCATTTGCTGACAGGGAATCATTATCTCCTGAGGCTGCCCATAACTTTGGACTATTAGATTTCAGTTAACAGTGAGAGTTAACAAACTTTTCCCTCCTACAGTTTCCACTCCTTGGTCTTGGCTTACTTCTTGGGATCATGCAGAATAGCTCTAGCCCCACTTCCACAAGACAATTCTCTAGATTTTAAGATTAATATCATACTTTTTTTTTTTTAACATCTTTTCTTTCCCATACCATCTTAAGACACTCTCCACTGAATAAGCTTACACCAAGAATTAAGTGCAATATTCCCAGGAAGGTCTAATCTGTGGGTATCATCACCAAATACGCCATTCTTACTCAAAATAGCACACACATACTAGGATAAATTCCCATTTACCTGTTTTTCTGTTACTCAAGTGACACTGCACTGGGTTTACTGTTGATTATAATCTGTCTTACCTATGCTGCTTCAAAACTGTGTCTCTCCCATCTTTTACTTATACAGTTGAATTTTTAACCACAAGGGTGGCACATGCATTTATTTTATCACAATTTCTTGAGTCAGTCCATTTTCTACAATCTTTTGAAATCTCCTTGGATTCTAATTCTACCATCCACAAGTCTTACAGAATTCCTAGCTTTTTATCACTGACACATTTCATTAGTATGTATTTTACCACTTTATCCAGTTCAATAAAAATATTGAACAGAGCAAAGCTGAGAAGATACCTAAAACTAGCAGACTCTCCATAGGTAGTCAATGCCCTACTGGTCATTATTGTTTTAGGTATATGTAAGCTTACATTTCCCCTATTAATCCCTAACAACAAACATAATACATTAAATTTGCTTCAATAAATAATGTTAAGTATCTTTGGGAATCCTATCAATGATAGGTTATAGTAATTACTGCTTTTTAAATTTAAGTATTCATAATCTACTTCTATAATAATTTACTTTAGATTTTTAGTCAGAATCAAAATTATTATTACCAGGCATTAGCTTACAGCGTTTGCTTCTAACTTTGAAAACAGAAACTATGTTGTCTGACTCAATTTCTGTTCTTGAACCTGTCTCATTCTCTTCCATCACTGAAGAAATAGAGTGATCCCACTGGTGAACTGTCTTAGCAACCTGGGGCATTATGTAGTGTAAGTGATCCTCTACCAAATGCCATTTTGCCATCCCTAGGGAATACCTGACAATGTGCAAAGACATTTTTGGTTGTGAAGCCCGGGAGTACTACTGGCACCTAGTGGCACAAGCCAGGGATGCTGCTAAGCATACTACAGTGCACAGGACAGACCCTTACAACAAAAAATTATCTGTTCCAAATGCCAATGTAGTGCTGAGACTGAAAACCCTGATGTAATCTATTCTCCTGCTTATGCAAACAACCCGTTTTCTACATTCATAGTAGAGGAGTTTCAGAATAAAAACATCCATTATAAAAACTTCATGAGTGCGCCTATAATCCCAGCACTTTGGGAGGCCAAGGTGGGTGGATCACAAGGTCAGGAATAGAGACCATCCTGGCTAACACAGGGAAAACCCCGTCTCTACTAAAAATACAAAAAAATAGCTGGGCGTGGTGGTGGGGTGCCTGTAATCTCAGCTACTCGGGAGGCTGAGGCAGGAGAATCGCTTGAACCCAGAAGGCGGAGGTTGCAGTGAGCCAAGATCCCACCACTGCACTCCAGCCTGGGTGACAGAGCAAGACTCCGTCTCAAACAAAAAAAGAAAAAAAAAAAAAAAAAGACTTCGTGAGTGAATCCATAATACTGCTGAAAGGCTTCAGTGATCACAAAGAGCCAGGTCTACCACTTAGTACTCAAGATTTTACAAATGACTTAACCCTTCTGGGCCCCAGCTTCATCTGTAAAAACTCAGTGAAAATAAATACATTTCACAGGGTGATGAGGATCAAATGAGACAATGTGCAAGTATTTAATAAACAGTAAAGCATAATGATTTATATTTAGGCTGTAACTCAACAATCCTACACAGAAAGCAAATATAGGATTATATATCTGCTTCTTTGTAGCTTTTAACTACTAATCTTCTATGCGGCATATCAACATAGAATAAATCTACACCTTCTTTGAATACAAACACCATCTCTCTGTACGTCTTCTTTCAAATTAAATATCTCTAATTCCTGCAACAGTTTCCATCTATTTTACCTGAGTTTTTATCCTATTGGAGGTAAGTAAAAAATGCCTTTCTATCTGTTGCCACATGTTGAAATCCTATTCTTTCTCTCAAGCCACAGCTCAAATGCTACCCCTAAGATAAACTATTTCCTTATCCCCACTGCTCTCTCCTGTCTCCTCCTGAAGACATAGTACTTTATCTATGCTGCTCATGGGGAGGGAATGTGGTCAGTGAGACAAACTGGGCTTTAGAAGCAGACGATCCAAGTTCAAATCCTAGTTCTCATTCATGGTAGCACTGTGAAAACTAGTTTTAAAGATTCATTTTCTTCATCTATAAAACGAGGCTATCATCTTTTTAAGAGACAGGGTTTTGCTGTTGCCCAGGCTGCAGGGTGGTGGCACAATCATGGCTCAATGCAGCTTCAACTCCTGGGCTCAAGGGGGAGCCCAGCTAATTTTTATTTTTTTGGTAGAGATGGCTCTTGCTATGATGCCCAGGCTGGTCTTGAATTCTTAGCCTGAAGAGAACCTCCTGCCTCAGTCTCCCAAAGGACTCAGATATACAGGTGTGAACCGCCATGCCTGGCGATCACTCATTTTTTAATATGGCTGCTGGGATTAAGATGACAGGTACAAGACCTTACAGAGTGGCCAGTACACAACTGGAATTAAGTAAGTTTTATTATCTTCCCTACTTCTCCTTCTCATTTCCTGTTTTAAATTACATTTTATGTGCATCTTATTTTCTCTGAGATTACATGCTTCTTGAAGGCAGAAATAGGCTGGTATCCCTTTCCTCCCTTTCACTTCTTATAGCTTTCCTCCTTTGTAATCACAATTCCAAGGGCTAAAACTTAATGGTGCTCATAATATGAATATGATATGCCTCCTTGCTTTTCAACCACCTCTGTCACTCTACTCTGGGTGTTCTCCAGTCTGTCAATTTATCCTTAATTTCCTAAAGTTCAACCTAAAATTGGTTTACTCATAAAACTGCATGAATCTACAATCTCATCAACAAACAATAAAAAAAAAAATACTACAATGAAAGAGAAGATTCTCAGCATGATCATTCTAAAAAGTTCCTCAATACGTCTTATGTTCAGTGAATTCAATTCTAGATCACTGTAAGATCAAGATCTGTCCTACTGAACTCTGAATCCTTAAAGAGACTACTATTATTTGGCAGACTACAAATAACTAGTCACTGTAATAAGTGTCAGTCTAATTTTGAAACCATTGTTCAAGCAAAGCCACAATGCCACTGGATTTCTGCCAAAGGATTTTTGCCGAAAGAACAAAGGTAGAGTGTTGTCGTCTTCCTTTAGAAGAAATGAATTTGCATTATTGGACTTATACCGGTTCATCTCTGCAGGGTCAGTGCATATTCATAATCCTCAAAGATGGCTGCCTGGGCCATGAGAACACAAATCAGATCACTGAACAGAGAAAAGTAAGCTAATAGGAATGAAAGTAATAATCTGGGTCTTTACAGGTATGTCTGTAATTTAAAATGATTACCACGTCTATCACAGTGTTCAGAAGTATCAAGGTATATTCTTTCGTCTTATTAATATGAAGATAAAAAAATAGCCAAGTCCAGTTAAAAAAAATTTGTTTTCATCTCAGTGCAGTCTGAGAAAAAGTCTAGATTCTATAAATCAAAAGTAAGTATGTTTTCCCCCAAACAGTTTTCTGATAATCACTCTGTATCTTTTATAAACCAGGAGCTGTAAGAAGATTATAATGATTTACAGATACATCATGGAGTTCACAACTCTAGAAATTATTACCTGTTTGCTTTTACTAACTTCATTTTCACAAATGGAATGTTCTTCAAGAATCACTCTGCAATGTGTTATTAAACTTGTTGTCTGTGAGGCTGACAAAGGATCCCAAAGGAATTCTACAAAGTCTGAAAAAAGTATTTCAGTGGTGAACAATTTATTTACTACATTGTTTTGCTTCTTATATATAAATAATCAAGACCTTTAACAAACACTGCTTCCCTCCTTATTCAGTTTAAGATCTATGGCAATTATTACCATCACATATTTGCATACATCCTCAATTTCCTTGTTTTTCTTGGGCTTTGTTAAACTCCTCCGGCCAAACTACAACTCTTTATAGTTAAGTTCACTTGTCACTGAGTCTCTGCCTGCAACCACGCAGATAAAAAGTGGCTGGAAAAAAAAAAACCACATTAACTTGATACCTATACAACTCAAGTGAGCCTCTCTCTCTCTCTCTCTCTCTCTCTGTCTCTCAGGTCCATTCGCTCTCCCTCTCACCTAGATGATTAATTCATACCTTCTCCCTTCTCTGTTATCTCACTCTCAGTTGATGGACTTTTTCCTTCTAGCTGATTATTTCCTACTTTATTTTTTCTACCCCCTTGCTTTTTCTTTCAGCTAATTACTTCCTCATTTGCTAAGAAAATAGAAGCAATCAGAAAAGCAGCACTACAAAGCTCCTACCACAGCATCTACATACCTACCTGCGTCTGTGCCCATATGCTCTAACTTGTCTCCTATTCCTATGGATGAGGCACCCACACTCCCACCATGTCAGGTGAACGGTTTATTTTGTGGATGAGATCCCAAGACTTTTGGCTTAATCTAAGATCCTGTTCCCAGAACTCTGTCCTTCCACTTTGATATTGACATCACTTGTACTAGATTTTTTCCATCACCCTACAAACAACTATTTATCTTGTATTAAAAATAATCCCCCTCGGTGTAAAGAGGCTGCCAAGATGGCCGAATAGGAACAGCTCCAGTCTGCAGCTCCCAGCAAGATCAACGCAGAAGGCAGGTGATTTCCAACTGAGGTACCCAGTTCATCTCATTGGGACTGGTTGGACAGTGGGTACAGCCCACAGAGGGTGAGCTGAAGCAAGGTGGGGTGTTGCCTCACCCGGAAGCGCAAGGGGTTGGGGAATTCTCTCCCCTACCTAAGGGATGCCATGAGACACTGTGCCGGGAAGAACAGTGCACTCCAGCCCAGATACTGCATTTTTCCCACGGTCTTTGCAACTGGCAGACCAGGAGATTCCCTCCAGTGCCTACCGCACCACGGCCCTGGGTTTCGTGCACAAAACTGGGTGGCTGTTTGGGCAGACACCAAACTAGCTGCAGGCGTTTTGTATGGTTTTGGTTTTTCTTTCATACCCCAGTGGCACCTGGAACGCCAGAGAAACAGAACCATTCACTACCCTGGAAAAGGGGCTGAAGACAGGGAGCCAAGTAGTCTGGCTTGGTGGGTCCCACCCCCACAAAGCCCAGCAAGCTAAGATCCACTGACTTGAAACTCTCGCTGACAGGAGTCTGAGCCCAACCTGGGATGTTCCAGCTTGGTGGGGGGAGGGGTGTCCACCATTGCTGAGGCTTTAGTAGCTGGTTTATGCCTCACAGTGTAAATAAAGCCCCCAGGAAGTTCAACCTGGGCAGAGCCCACCACAGCTCAGCAAGGTCGCTGCAGCCAGACTGCCTCTCTAGACTACTCCTCTCTGGGCAGGGCATCTCTGAAAAAAGGCAGCAGCCCCAGTCAGGGACTTAAGAGATAAAAACCCCCATCTTCCATGGACAGAGCACCTGGGGGAAGGGGTGGCTGTGGGTGCAGCTTCAGCTGACTTAAACGTCCTTGCCTAATAGTTCTGAAGAGAGCAGTGGTTCTCCCAGCACAGGGCTCGAGTTCTGATAAGGGACAGACTGCCTCCGCAAGTGGGTCTCTGACCTCCATTTATCCTGACTGGGAGATACCTCCCAGTAGGGGCCAAAAGACACCTCATGGAGGAGAGCTCCGGCTAGCATCTGGCGGGTGCCCCTCTGGGACGAAGCTTCCAGAGGAAGGAACAGGCAGCAATCTTTGCTGTTCTGCAGCCTCCGCTAGTGATACCCAGGCAAACAGGGTCTGGAGCGGACCTCCAGCAAACTCCAGCAGACCTGTAGCAGAGAGGCCTGTTGGAAGCAAAACTAACAAACAGAAAGGAATAGTATCAGCATCAACAAAAAGGACATACACTAAGAGACCCCATCCGAAGGTCACCAATATAAAAGACCAGAAGTAGATAAATCCACAAAGATGGGGAGAAACCAGCGCAAAAAGGCTGAACATTCCAAAAACTAGAATGCCTGTTCTTCTTCAAAGAATCACAAGTCGTCACCAGCAAGGGAACAAAACTGGATGGAGAATGAGTTGGACGAATTGACAGAAGCAGGCTTTAGAAGGTGGGTAATAAACTCCTCCGAGCTAAAGGAGCATGTTCTAACCCAATGGAAGGAAGTTAAGAACCTTGAAAAAAGGTAAAGGTATTGCTAACTAAAATAGCCAGTTTAGAGAAGAATATAAATGACCTGATGAATCTGAAAAACACTGCAGGAGAACGTCATGAAGTATACACAGACATCAATAGCTGAATCGATCAAGTGGAAGACAGGGTATCAGAGATTGAAGATCACCTCAGTGAAATAAAGCGAGAAGACAAGTTTAGAGAAAAAAGAGTGAAAAGAAACAAACAAAGCCTCCAAGAAATATGGGACTATGTGAAAAGACAAAATCTATGTTTGATTGGTATACCTGAAAGTGATGGGGAGAACTGAACCAAGTTGGAAAACACTCTTCAGGATATTATCCAGAAGAACTTCCCCAACCCAGCAAGGCAGGCCACCATTCAAATTCAGGAAATACAGAGACCACCACAAAGATACTCCTTGAGAAGAGCAACCCCAAGGCACATAATTGTCAGATTCACCAAGGTTGCAAGGGAGGAAAAAATGTTAAGGGCAGCCAGAAAGAAAGGTCGGGTTACCTACAAAAGGAAGCCCATCAGACTAACAGCGGATCTATCTGCAGAAACCCTACAAGCTACAAGAGACTGGGGGCCAATATTCAACATTCTTAAAGAAATGAATTTTCAATCCAGAATTTCATATCCAGCCAAACTAAGCTTCATAAGCAAAGGAAAAATAAAATCCTTTACAGACAAGCAAATGCTGAGAGATTTTGTCATCACCAGGCCTGCCTTACAAGAGCTCCTGAAGAAAGTACTAAACATGGAAAGGAACAACTGGTACCAGACACTGCAAAAACATACCGAATTGTAAAGACCATCAATGCTATGAAGAAACTGTATCAACTAATGGGCAAAATGACCAGCTAGCATCATAATGACAGGATCAAATTCACACATAACAATATTACCTTTAAATGTAAATGGTCTAAAAGCCCCAACTAAAAGACACAGACTGGCAAATTGGATAGAGTCAAGATCCATCAGTGTGCTGTATTCAAGAGACCCATTTCATGTACAGAGACACACGCAGGCTCAAAATAAAGGAATGGAGGAATATTTACCAAGTAAATGGAAAGTAAAAAAAAAAAAAAAAAAAAGCAGGGGTTGCAGTCCTAGTCTCTGATAAAACAGACTTTAAACCAA